CTCTATAGAAAAAATACTACTACTGCGACAAAAACGTGTTTTCGTACTGGAATAGTAGACACTTCCAGCTATCCAACGCTGCATTCGTTTCCCACCCTACCCCTCTAGGACGCCTTCTGCGCGCGCAGTCTCGTTATTTAATAGCCAGACCTCGTATACATATAATTAATAAAGCTCTATAATATATTAAATCAATTAAATATGTTAAAATATAATTAAAAATAAAATTTTTTGTCGTGTTTTTTTGTTTCTCTTCTCTCTCTGCGTAAGCACTTATTTATATAACTAAAAAGAAACTTACATACTAAAAAATCAAAACATTCTTATTAATATTTAAATTAAAATATTCTTATCATATCTATGTATGAACGTCTGTTGTCTTCTGATGATTACTGAAAATAAAAATAATTATCTGATAAAAGTAGCAAAATAGCATGTTACTTGTTTAAGTGAATGGAGCACAGCAAAATAATAAAAAATTAGTTTTAGATTAAAAAAATAGCTTGTCGATATTGTTGCGTCCTGTTACTTCATGACCTAGCTTACATTGTGCACTTGATACGGGTACTAATTAGTAATTTTCTATTGAATTATCTTAATTTTGGCGATACGTGAAAACATATACATAATGCGTCTATTTTATTAATCATTTTGATATATACCTATTATACCAATTTAGTACATCATTTTTTAAATACATTGCTGAAGTTAAAATAATTTAATAGATAGTTACCAATTAAATACACATATCAAGTGTTCGATGTAAAAAGGATCCATGATTTTTTAGCATGCAAATAACTTTTATAAGAACTTATATACATATAAATAAAAGAGAAGAAGGTGCATGTTGAAAAAAGATTAAATAATTTACAATACTCTCTTAGATTATTGCATATTAGTTATGAAGATTAATTGATTCAGATATATAATTATATTTCTATCTAGACAAACCTCGTACCCAAGCTCGCCGTAACTTAGGGAGCCTACATAGCAGAGAGACGCAAACTCGTCACGTGACTAGCTATTCTGTTTTGGATATCAATTATGAAACTTTTTCCCTAGGATGAAAAGTGAAAAGTGAAAATTTTTATCATTGAAATTAACGAAGAAATTTTTCACTTTTCACTTTCCATCCTAGGGATAAAATTTCATGATTGATACCCTGTGATTGATCAGAATAAAGCTGGGAGTACGGACTCTTGCATAACGCAAAAGATGTCTTTTCATGCACAGCATGCTGCGGCAGCAAAAATGTCACGTGCCAATTTTTCATAACTGCTTTTGCTGCATTTGCTGCGCATAAAAAGGAATAATGACAACAACATATGTATTAAAGTTTAACCTCAAATATGTGTCTTTTATTTGCTCAGCTCGAAAATTAATATGGAAAATTAATAAAAGCTAAAAAAAAATGTGATTATATGGTAACTATTAGTTCAGTTACAATTTGGACAACTATCATTTCAAGTATTTGGAATTTAGAATATCCGCATCACTTCAAATCTTAATAAAAATGTACTCATTGTATGTACTCATTATAAATATACTCAATTTTCACATTTTTTGCGAATATTGCAGACTTTCTTAGCTTCGAATACTTTGCTGCTCGTTGTTCATTCAGTTGAACTTCAATGAGATGTGGCAAAATGTATTTTGCGTCAGAAGTGCGTTATCTCATGTAAAATTTTTAACCAATAGTTACGAATTGCTACCGCAGCGTGCTGCGTATGAAAAGTCAGCTTAAATGAGGCATAAGAAAATCAATTAATTAGAGTCCTTTATTTCATAGAAAGGAAAGAAATAAAGGACTTTGATTGGTTCATTTTCTTATGCATTATGTGTTATGCATTATGCAAGAGTCTGTGTTCCCCATCTAACACGCATTCTACAATAAGCCATTAGGGTGCACTCAGATGGAGCGGATCTGCGGAAATGCGGAATTGACGGAATTGACGTGATTGGTCTGTCATTTTCGTCATTTTCTTTCCGCGGATTTTCTTTAACGGATTCCGCGGAGATATATTATTAAACTGTATGTGTATTGTATTTACATCTTAACCCTTCTTTATACCTATATGTATAAGTCTCGTTCGTGCGCCTTGACCGAGTAGGATGTGTTTACGCTCTGGCTCGAATTTTGCATTATTTAATATTTTTGGAAAGTCAACTTTGACAATTGCATCATATAAAATTCGAGCAGGAATTTCAAATTTGCAGAATCCTTCCGTTCGTATAGACGCGCGTGCGGCACGGAATAATTAAAAAGGGCAAACATTGAAAATATTGTAAGTATATATAAGGTAATTCTTCAGAAGAGCTTCCTCACCTCCGATTTCGATGAAATTAGGATTATTCGACACGTTTTTGCGTAAAATGAAAGAATTTAGCAGAATAATTTCATCGAAATCGGAGGTGAGGAAGCTCTTCTGAAGAATTACTGTATGTAATATTTAAAAATAAAAAGTTTTAAGATGTTGTTAATAACTTTTGAAGGAAGATAAGAAATGTGGATATTGTGTATGGTTTTTATCAGAAAATTATGATTTGTTGCGACATTCTTGTTTCCAACTTTCTATTTGACGATGACAAAAATTAACTTATTATTGACAAAAATCTGATTGTAACTGTAAGTAAGTCTACATTATATTATAAAAGTCTATTATAAACTATAATATAACAGGTAATAATACAAATACAAATGCGCATACTTAAAGAATAAATTTTAACTTATAAGATTAACAATGCATTGTACATAGAACCTATTGATTATAATAAAACGCAAAAGTACTAAAACAATTTAGAATGAAAAGGAAATGTAAATTTTAGTTTTAGTTTGGCCGTTAAATTATTTAATCAAATTTATAATTATTTTTTTCATTAATATTATAATTTCTAAAATCATCGAGGAGACGAGCATATGTCTGAACATTTTGGAATTGAAGATACCAATGAAATTACAAATGAAGTTACTATTAATAAATTTTTAATTACATGCATTTCTCAAAAACAAGGATTATATGATTATCGATTCCCTGCCAGTTCCAGAACTAATCTCAAAAAAAAAAACAGCAGGAAATTTCGAATATGATGGGAGATGTGTAATTACTCGTATATATGTGATACATAATTATGATTTGAACAAATGTTTATTGTAATTTTAATGTTTTCTTTTAAAGACAATTATCTGCTGAGGATGCAAAGAATCGTTAGAAATATTTAAGGGATTGCTACATGAAAGCGAAAAAAAGCAATAAACTTACATTCCCAGCGGCTCTGGAGCAAAAAAAATACATTTCGCTTTTTTGAGCAAATGAAATTCTTAGATGACCTTGCAGACGTCTCAGTAAGTATCTGTTGTGATTTATTTATTTATTTAATTAATTATGTTTATGTTCACATAGAAAATATCTGAGTAATATAGAACATTTAACCTAAAATAAAAATACACATTTTATTATAGTTTACTATATTTTATTAAATAAATAATATTTATACATTATTAGAGCATTAGTTCTTATATTACTAATATATATTATATTACTAGTATATATATATATATATATATATATATATATATATATATAAATTGAAAAGAGTTGAAAAATGTCATTTTTTTCTTTCAGAACATGCAGCATTTTACCAAAGGCATCTCCATCGACTAGTAAATCACCATTAGCATTATCGGTTACTACACCATTGCCAATGTCCAGTAAGGAATGCTCCATATCATCCGATATTATAAATGATTATTCACCATCATAATTTTGACTCTGTTCGTAATCCGGTTATTTCAACATCGGGTAATACTTCTGTTTTCTCGATGCGCAGCTCTCTTGTGAATTCTGCATCGCACGTTGTTAATCCTTCTTCCTTTCTAAATAATAGTTCTCCTAGTCCCGTGATTTCCGTACATCCTAACTCTTTTCCTTCACAGAGTCCTCCGTCTTTAACCACTGTCAGAGACAGTTGATTTTTAAATTTATCGTGACAACGTGCAATGTTTTCTACAACTGGGAAATAATTTCGCGCTCCCTTATAATAACAAAAACAGGATCATTTTTGATTGCATTAAGGGGATTGAGAGTAGCACATCGAGAATGCCCTTGGATAGGAGAATTGATGTGACTAATCAGTTTATTCCCATCCTGAACAACATCATCTCTTCTCCTAGCTTCACTTCTGACATAGACATACAATTGTCTAAGTTAGAGTCCGACACGAGTGCATTTGTATCGGCGCATCCCAACATCGTTTTCACGCTTGCTGATAAAGGCAATGTCATTGTCGCTATGGATAGGGACGCTTACAGAAACAAAATGATTGTGTTATTGAGGGACTTGGACACGTATGTTCCGATCAAGAAAGATCCGATTAAAAAACTTACGACAGCTTTAAGGTCTATGCTTACCAGATGGAAAACTAAAGGTCATATCAAGGACTCTAAGTACAGGACGTTGTACTGTAGTGACGGGTCACTTCCGAGAGCCTATGGGCTGCCGAAGATTCATAAGCCTGGTTGCCCTCTCAGAATTATCGTATCATCGGTGGGCAGTCCGCTGTATTCATTGGCTACTTTTTTACATAATAGACTATTTAAAACCATTCCGAAAGCGGACAGTCACGTAAAAAACAGTTTTGAATTAGTCGGGAAATTGAGAAGTGTACACTTTACAGGTGCACATGAATTAATTTCTTTAGATGTGACTTCTCTTTTTACGAACGTTCCAACGGATATAGCGGTCGACTTTGTGAGTGAGCAATGGAATGTTTCCAAGAATTGCTTCCTGCCCAAGAAGGAGTTTGGGAGCGATACAGTTTGTCTTGGATTCAACCTTCTTTTCCTTTGACAATGTAATTTACAAGCAAAGCTTTGGCATCCCCATGGGCTCTCCAATATCACTGGTAATAACAGACTTAGTGATGAGGAGATTGGACGGTGTCCTTGATGTCGTTGTGAATTTTGATATCTTGTTTTATTACAGATATGTTGATGATATATGTACTGCGGTGTCTCCCTCATAAATCGACGGTTTATTAGAACAATTTAATTCTTTCCATCCGCGCCTGCAGTTTACTGTCGAAAGAGGGGGAGATATAATAAATTTTCTTGACATCACCGTATCTATTAACAATAATCGCTTTAATTTTGATTGGTACTGTTAAGCCAATGTTCTCAGGTAGGTTTCTAAACTTTTATTCCAATCATCCATTGACACAGAAAAAAGGCACCATTTTTTCGTTAGTTGACAGAGCTTTTTTATTATCTGACGGTATGTTTTACACAAAAAATTTGACTTTTATTATTAATATTTTACTAGAGATATGACTATCCACTGAACTTCATTTTTGACACTATCAATCAACGGATTAAAAATTTGATTAAAAATAGATGCAAAGTACATAATATTTTAACTGACAATGTCTGTACGAATGAAACTACCTCTTGGGTTACGGTTCCATACATTCCGCTTCACACGGAGAAATTTAGAAGATTAAATAAAAACGACATCAGGGTATCTTTTCACAGCTCCAACAAAATGGGCAAATACATAAAAGTACAGAAGGACATTTGTCCCCATACATTGAAAAGCAATGTCGTTTACAAAATATCGCGTAACAATTGTGTCGCGTCTTATGTTGAACAGACGGGCAGGCAATTGAAAACTAGAATTACCGAACATCGCAATCATATCAGGCATAAAACTTCTGTCCGCTCTGTCATCATCGAACATAGGCTACTATATAATCACGATTTCCAATGGGACAATGTCCAAATCTTAGATGAAGAGCCTTCTTATAGGAAGCGTTTGATCTCAGAAATGCTTCATATAAAGAAACAGAAAAACAGTCTCAATTTGCAAACGGACACTAAAGGTCTTCACAAGGCATATTTGCCCATTGTAAATAAAGTTTGACTTTTTGACTGACAGCCCGTCTCCTCTCTCAGTGCGCGGCGTTCCGTTTCAGCGAGCAGTCACGTTGTGTGCGAGACTGAGATGTTCGGCTCTCGCATTTGCAGTACATTCGTCGGTATGCATACATACCTTTTATATTTATACAGATACACTAGTTCTTATTGGCTTACTCATGTTTGTTGGTGAGTGTTCACTTTTTATTTCAATTGCGGTTGTCAAGTTTTTTAAGTTTACTTTTTCATAAGAGTTCTTTTCCTTTTTTCCTTTTTTATCAACTAGAACTTGGCTATAAGACATCACTTTGACTGCTCAATCGCATGAATAATGTCGCGCTCTACGTCGAGACTCAACTGAACTGCGCATTTTCGCGATCTATGAATGTGTTGCGACAAGAATTATTTATTTTTTAATTCTATTTATTTTTGTTAACATCTGAAGAGAGCTCAATCCAGCAGCCGAAACTTGTAATGGTATTCTTTCTCTAATTGTTATATATTAGTATACGTCGTGTCTTCATTTTTCACTTTTTTGTATCTCTGATTAATGTCTTTTATTATATTATTTTATTAATATGTGTTCTAATTAATGCGCTGACTCTTATTTCGCCCTTCATTTGTTCTTATTTATGATTATCAGAGCTTAACAGAGATGATAACTGCAGAGAAAAAATTGTAATTTTTCTGTTATATATATATATGTATATATATATTATAGCTTTACAAGTATGCATATTTATTTATGGAACATTTATGTAATAAAAAATTATAAATTTAATAATGTATAAGCCAAATATAATATATTTAACATATATTAATAATAGCAAATTTATATCAATTGTCGATAAGTCAGCATTCTTCAATTATCTCCCTTCTTATATCGTCGAAAATTTGCTCAGGATTGACGGTCTTTAATAGTACCTCGTCTGTGTTCAAACTAATATTTTTTTAATCGAAGAAACTTTTCTCTAAATGTATCGCTGGAAAATGTTAAAAAATTATGCTTAATTTTAATGGATCGTTTCTTTTGTGTATGTTTTAAACTGATTTTTATATAAATGTATATATACAGAGTATATAGTTTAAATAATAATCCCTAAATATTACTATTTCAGTTTCTTAGTAAAAAATATTTTTTAGCAATATTTCATTTCTTTAATGTTTTTACTTAAAAAAAAAAATATAAATTGCGCACAAAATGTGATATGTATTTTGCGTGCGTGCGTGCGTGCGTGTGTCCATATACAATTTATGTATGTATGTATATATTGTATATGCTACAAAACAAAATTAAAGAATCGCTTATTTTTTCCTCAAAAATAGGTAAATGTTCAAGAAAGTGTAACTTTCTAAACTTTTGTCAAAAATAATTTTAATGAGATTTTTCAGAAAATATTTTAAAACATGAAATGTCTACTTTTGAGTTGATATGTTGATGTAATTGATTTTTTATGAATGCAAATAAATATTCGTCAAATCTGAAAATTTTGTACAAAATTCACAAAGTTTCATGGCGTGGATTAAAAATCGCACACAAACGCGATTACGTATAATATTTGAAAGAATGAATTTTTACTTTTAATTTGCTTTTTTGTTGAGCGTTGTACGATCTTTTTCAACAAGTTATTCAACAATGAAATAAAAATGATTTCTTTTACTCAATATTGAATAACTTTTCAATATTGAATATCTTCGAGAAACGACATATAAAGACTCGCGATTATAAGCTTATGAATCATGAAATAAACCATTATCAATAATAAGATACTTACATTCGCAATTTGATACTGAAATTATTAAAATCAATAGTAGAATCCAACAGGGCGAATGAAAGTACGACGTGGTAATCAATAAGCAAAGTAATAGAATATAAATTCTTATTACTCTTTTATTTCGTTAATCCAAAAATTGGACGTTTCGACTCACATTGGAATCCTCCTCAACAATTATAAGATATTATTCCTGTCATTCCTTTGTAAGTCTCATTTGAGTCACCAACTTTGCAGACTCGTTGCAAAAAATCTATTAAACGTTAAATTAAAGAATAACATAGATTGAGACAAGACTTCAAAAATTCTTAATTTTTTGTAGATATTCATAGTGGGACGTAGAGTGACGTTATTTGACGGAACAAGATTTCTAGGTTTTTCATACAAACAACGCTGCTTTACGTTCTACTACGAAAATCTACTATGACAAACTAATAATTTTTAAGATCTTATCTCAATCTATGTAGATTTTCATAAGTTTTTTCGCTAGAGAAGATTACATTCTAAATTGAATTGAAATTATTTTAAACTTAATAACTTTAATAATGAGAAATTAACGTATATAATTGTCAAATAAATCAAAAAGATTAAAATATTGAAAAAAAAAAAAATATTTTTTTTTATGATACTTAGATGCTAAATCTTGTCTTGTCTTTCACATTCTCTATATATTCTTAGATTTATCGACTTAATACATTTCTGATGATAAAACAGAGATTGCATGAGGTAAAATTTTCTTCGGAGCAGCCAAAGCAGTCGATAATAACGCTCTACAATTATCTCTGGGCCCTCCGGGTCCTTTTTATATCGCCGAAAATTTACCCAGGGTTGTCTTCAATAATATTTTGTCGATGACATAATCCCATATAGATATATTATAATCTATAATATATATACGTACCAATGTATGTTATTTTGGATTACGTCAAGAATTTTGTGATTGTGGCGTGCAATATTATAATATGAAATTGAATTAAATTAAAACAGGATATAAGGAGTTTATGAATAAAAATTAAAAAAATATAGGAGTAAAATTACTGGATTTTGACCGATATGATCTTTCCTACGCCATGTCTTTTGATATTTTTTGATGTGCTGAATTATTTACAAACGTTTGCAAATTTCAAACTAAACTGATGGAAAATGTTGATGTCAAAGATTTTAAAATTATGCTATTTTTTTATGCAATTTTTCCATCAGATCAGATTAAAATAAATGTTTCCAAAATATTCAGCATAATAAAAAATACCAAAAAAACATACATAAAAAAAGTTCCATCGTTTGGGTAAAATTTTGTAATTTTACCCATCCTCCTTTATTTATATGTTCTTTTTTATTTGTATTTTTGATATATGTTACAATATTTTTGTCAACTTATTATTCTTATATTATAGGTTTCCAATTATGCCTACTTATTATGCAGCGAGCAATTGTTCATAATACTAACCAAGGATATGCAGTATTTTCAATAGAATTATCTTGTGTAATGTATAGTTGTGTATGTATATAGTTTATCTAATCAAAATTATCCGGTATTTGTAACCAGGAGCCATAGACAAATTACATTTATTTTTAACTCAAATTATAATTGTATTTTTAAGAAACATGTTAAAGAGTAAATTGCAATAATTGCAATAATTATTCTTGTTATTATCTTTCTCATCTTTGAAATAAATAGAACACTTTTTACATCTTGTAAAAATTTTTTATTTTTTATAACTTTTGTTTGTTATAACTTCTATTTAAAAAAATAAAATTTTTTTGTAAATACAGTAAATAAAAGAAGAAAAAAAAATAAATTCTCTTAATAATAATAATTAAGTATAATAATAAGTATAGTAATAAGTCAAATATAAATATATTGAAACAATGTAATATTTATTAAACGTAAGAGTATTAAACTTTACAAGTAGAAATAGCAATGACAAATAAATATAAATAATTCGCAAATCATTGCCTACCTAAAAAAAAAACAAAAGAACAAGTAAACAAAACAAGTTAAACAGACTACTAATACAATAAATATGCTACTTTTAACAACGCATTATATTATTACTAGCCAATCAATATTTATAGAATTAAAAAAACTTGAACTTTTCTATCACAAAATATTTCCATTAAAAGCTAATTCAGTGCACGCATCTTAATTCTTTTGGATTATTGATTT